TGTCATACTGTCTCCTGAAAGGATGTTTATTTACTTTTTTTTTTCTGATGTGATGAGAGACACTATTTCTCCTTTATTAGATTATGATGGTGAGTTACGTCTTGACAAGAATGTCTTTTTAAATTTGTGCTTTCCACAGTAATAAATCCTTGCCTCTTCAAAACTAAAATGAAATAAGTGATAACTTCCTGAATTATTGTTAACATAGCTAAATTCCTAGAAATGAAATCTATTTGCATAGTGTATACCTGAAGGTGATAAGGAGGATGTCTTCAGTAATGCCTATTTCAGTAACGGCAATTTCAATTTTGTATAAAGCATTCAGTATGTAATATACAATCCAATCTCAAGTGCCTTTTATGCTGATAGTGTGATAGTAGCGTGTACTTCTAACTTGTTTTTTATTTTAGTATCAGAGTCGACCGTTAAGATTGCTGTGTATTATAGGAGATCATAAGAGGCATCATTGATTCTCTCACTTTTGATTTTTTTTTTTTTTCCAATCCATGTGAATTGTTCTCCCCCTGCTTTTGTACCTTTTCTTTATGAACACTGTCCCCAAGGACACAACTAGGCATGTTGCATGAGCTTTTTCTTACCAATTGTAATCAATAAACTTTCCTCTTCAGATTGTTTCTAAGCTGAAAGATGAAATTACTTTGATGGAGAGAGAGCACAGTGATCTTCAGCTGCACATTGCAAGAACGGACTGGTGGTGTGAGAATCTTGGCATGTGGAAAGCCTTCATTGTCTCGGGCGAGGTATGGGATTTTTTTATGGCTTTTTGTCTTCTGGGTCAGTTCAAACTTGCATGAAAAGTGGAGGAAAAATGCATAGCTACTTTCCTTATACCTTTGTGTACACTGTTTATACTTAATACTGACTTGTGGGGGAAGGAACCCTCTTCTGAGTTCCTCTTGTTTCCCAGTGGCTACTGTGATGCATATACAAAATTTCTGTTCTTCAAACACAGTTGTGATGGAGTTATAAAAATTACCTCCATGAACATAAACTGCTTTTGACAGTTTGCTATCTTAGAGGCATTGTTTTTCATGAGAACTGTCTTTTGTTATATTACCATGCTATTGCACTTCGGTGCAGTTGTGTCTCTGCTGTGTCTCAAAGATGCGGTACTTACACTCATTGTTTTATAGTATTATATTTAATAGCAGTACAGTTTCAGAGGACTAGAATACCCAGAAAGAAAGTGCTTTGTATCTGTAAGATGAAGTTACATTTTTTTTTTTGTCTTGTTCTGCTTTTCCATTTGGGCATAAGTGGCCTTGAGTGAGGAACTTCTCCCATGAGAAGTGATTCTGAAAGCACTTTCATTTGCTTAACTTAGCAGAAGGGAGAGAATCAGAGGAATAGGGCTCTCTAGTTTGAATTTATTCATGATAGCAGTTGTATGAGATGGTGCCTGTTAACAGCAGAGGACTAGTTCTCCTGGTTTAGAAGACCTCCTAACATCCCATCTTTCTGTTTTCCAGTTGACTCATTAATTTGGAAAAACAAATGCACAAGTACATAAGTTGATCAAGAATTTTGCATTCTTAGAAAGATTCTGAAGACTTTCAGTATTTATATGAGAGAATTTGAGGGTACTTGAAGAAAGTTGGAATATGTCTCCATCTAGTAATCAGAATTTAAATAATTTTGCGCATGGATCCTAACTTGAAGCAGGAGTACTAAGTCCTCTCATTCTGAGAATATGCTTCTAGAGCAGTGACTCTCTCCTCACAATTACAGTTCAGATGACCCTACACACATGCAAATCCTTGCCCTATGAACAAATGCAGAATGGAGAATGATAGGCATGACTCTAATCAGCAATTTCAGCACTGATCTCCCAGTATTCAAAAGTTGCAGCCAGGAGGTGTTTGCAGCTTGTAGGTGAGCACAGATCCAATCTAGCTCAGGGGTACACAGGGTAGAGACTGTCCCACACAATCCCAATTCTTCTGGGCCATGTTTCTCTAAACTGTATTTTGGAGGCTGTTCGAGCATCTGTCTGCAGTACTCTGGCAGGAGATAGGCAGTTCCCCAAAGAGCTGCACTGAGAAACAGGCATATCTTCAGGCATTCAAGCTGGTGCTTTGTATTCTGTCTGGGTTCTGCTGCAGCTTTTTTACACAGATATGTGAAATCTGGGCCTCAGATTTGTCTTCCCAGTTGTCCATGTGCAGCTTTAGGAATCACAGGGAATATTCTCCATGTACAGCTCTGAATGGCCTAAAAATATGAAGGTATATTTTAGCTGCGTGTCTTTTACAACAGTAATGTAGTCGCTTGTCAAATTATCCATCAATAGCATTGTGTTGTCAGACCTTTACAGCCTTTGCAGGGTTCTCGGAAAATGTGTCATAATTATATGAATTTTAAAGTTTATTTTTATCCTAATTAGGTAGTTAGTTCAACTGTTCTTTAGAAAAAGCTTGAAAACGATAACTTCCTCAAAAAGATTGTGAAAGTGGTATTTTATAATTACCTTTCAGTTATTTGCATGTACGTAAAGACAAAGCCTTCCTAGAGTTAAGTATTTTATGCATTTCCCTTATTTGCCTTTCATAATCAATTTAGCTGTCTCCTCAAAATAAGTAAACAAAAATCTTTTACGAGTAGAACAAAAGGATGAAATTCTTATGTCAGTTCTTACATTAAATGAAGAAATAATGTGGTCACACTGCTGCTGTGGTCTCAAGAAAAATTGCTTAACTTCTTTGCTGTAGTTTTCCCATTTGCACAATGTGGTTAATTGGTTCTCGTTCCTCTGACTGAGGATTGTAGAGTTTGATTCATTAGTATTTTTGTAAAGTTGTGAGTCCCTCAGACATAAACACTGCATGGATACCACATCCTCTGTGCATGCAGAATGGCTCAAGTGAGTAGAGAAATCACTGAGACAGCACTAGCTGTCACAGGGCCCAGCTGCAGAGCTGCTGTGCCTGGCATGTGGATGAGCCTCAACAGGGCACTGGGAAGGAAGCGTGGGAATAAAGGGAGAACACTCAGGTAAATGCAGATAGGAGAGATGGAGTATTGATAACCAGAATGGAGTACTGATAATCAGAAAGCTATATGATAGGGACCTTAAAAACCGAAATAATACACTCACCTGTTTGAATAAGACATGTCAGTGAGATTTGATTGCTGGTGGACAGCATTGCTAAGCTTTATGTGAGGTACCATAGTGGTTAGCTAGAGGACTGATTCAGGACTGGCACAGCATTTGGGTGAAGTTTAGTTCATTAAGGGTGTTGCTCCATGTGTAGCTTTCAAATCTCAAGAGAAGCATGGGACTGATGAGTTTGCAAGCCAGTCATCTGGCAGCTCAAATGTTCCACTGTTTTACTTTCAATGTAGTATAACTTATCTGCTGGTTTCTTCCCCACAAGGTTTTAGAAGAGAATGGAGAACAAGTGCCCTCTTACTCTGTCATGGTGAGTTTACAAGAAGTTGGTGGAGCTGAAACTAAGAACTGGACTGTTCCCAGGAAGCTCAATGAGTTTCAGAACCTACACCGCAAACTCAGTGAGGTACGAATCTCAGCTAAGGGAGGAAGATACAAATTTCTGAAAATTGTCAGAATGATAAAAATTTAATACTGCCAGTTTTAATGCAGCCTTTTGGCTTTTAGCGTTTTAGAGCTAGTTTTCTGTCTGAATATTTCTGGTCTCTTACAGAGAGAGATGCTTATAAGACTTATTTATAATTTTTTTTCCCCCTCTTAATAATGTTTTACTGGACTAACCCAATGTCAGAATGCTATATGTTCTTCACTGTCATGGAAGAGCTGACTGTAAAAACTAGATTTTGTCTCTGGCTTCCAGGGAAGTATTAGAAATGACAGCTTTTGGGGACAGAGAATGTTTCTTTTTATAGCGCTTTACCCTTTCTGTATGATAAGGGATAGATGATAGTGGTGGGAAGGGAAGCCTCTAGTGGGTAAGGGAGGTGTTTTTCAGGGTGCTGAGAGGGGTGTGGAAGGGAGATGAGAGTACAAAAGAGTCTCTTCATTTCCATTCTGAACCAGTTGTCTTTTACTCCACATGCATTTTAAGTGGGCTCTCCTCTCTCCTACACAGTGTTTTCCATCATTAAAAAAAGTTCAGTTGCCTTCTCTCAGCAAGCTGCCCTTCAAATCCATAGACCAGAAATTCATGGAGAAATCCAAGAACCAGCTTAATAACTTTCTGCAGGTAAGAAAACAAAACCAAAACCAACAGATATCTAAACAGCAGAATGAGAGAATGTTGTCTCTTTATTGCCTAAAGAGAGAGTCTAGAACAAATGGGTCAGATGTAAGGTTTGATATAAATGTCGAAGTTGTCTAAAATGCCTGAAGTTAAGATGAGTTTGATTGATAGTAACCATTCCTCCAGTGGTAAGTTAATTTAAACTTCAGTTAATTAAGAAATCATAAGTAATGAATCCTGTAATTGCCACTTTTAGCTACAGCACTTCTCAACAAATTCCTTAAAAATGAGAACTTTTATTAAAAAAGAAAGTTGTAAGATTAAAAACTTCAATCTTAATAGTTCCAGTACTTTAGACCTAGCTTGTTATAGTATCTTTGTGAGACATGGATTTTTTTTTCCTCACACTGCCTCTGAGCCATGACTTACTTGGTTATAGTGGATGGCTTGACACATCTTATTCCTTAACAAGAAATGTTTAATTGACACGTTTCAGTAATTATTTTTCTTTCATAGAAATTACTCTCTGATGAAAGACTCTGCCAGAGTGAAGCACTTTATGCCTTCTTGAGCCCTTCCCCAGAGCACCTCAAAGTTATTGATGTGCAAGGAAAGAAGTCATCTTTTTCACTCTCCTCATTTCTTGAACGACTTCCTGGTGATTTGTTTTCTCATCAGGAGGTAAGTAGTAGAAAAGTAATCTTCCCAAATTTAATTACTTATACAAAGTAAGCAGGGAAAGTCATTAGTGTTTGAATGGTAGGTAATATTGGAAGACATTTCCAAAAGTGATTTATAATTTACTGGAAGTGAACGAAGAGTGAAAAATAAGAGCTATCTATGAATTTCAAAGGTGTTTATTAACAAAATAAGTTTCCTGCCCTTTGATAAATGCATATAGGCAAATGCATAAGCTATCACAAATAAAGAAATTGTAGTCCATGTGGGATTATTTTTTTTATAGCGGAATTTGCCTCTTTTTTGAGGTCTTGATTTGCATATTTCAGAGGAGCTTTGGCATGTAAAAATAATTCTCTCTTGGGAAGATTGTCTTGGCAGGAGCTGTGTGTCCTTAATAATTCTATGACAACTTCTGAAGCAAAGCTAGTTTTGACCAAAAATGTTGGCAAGTAGTGCAGGCTTACTGAGGGAATTTGGAAATGCAGGCAGGAACCTATGTGGGCAAAGCAGTTGGAGAATTTGATATTAACCCATAAAAAAACACGTCTATCAAAATGCAATGAATAATAGATTAGTGACTGAAATAGCTTATTGACTAGAATCAACCATAATTCCATGGCACTCTGTTCTGCGTTGCTCATGTTGCAGATATGCAACCTTTAAGGAGTTGTTTCTATTCCCCATTTTAGTTATATGTTATACAAAATTCATATGAAATAATTAATTTGTTACGTGCTGTATTTGTCTCCAGTGGATGGGTCTTCTGCAGGATAATTGGAGTTTGGGGAACAGGTACAGTTCTAGCCTCTTAATAGGCAGAGAAGTGGTCTTGCATCTCTCAGAAATAAAAAAATTCTATATACATTTTTCAAAATTACATTCTGTTTGCATCTAGATGCTGAATGCATGTGCCTCATTTCAGAGTAATAAATATAAAGAAAGTTGGAGAAACTAGATTTGAACTTCAATAGAAGTACTGCAGTTCTAAAACCAAAAGTGCATTCACTAAAATGACTGTTAAGAAGTAGCATAAAAGCACAGAAGCATGTAGCTATTTGTATTTTGCTATTTAATTGAAAAACATCCTCAAGACAAAAGCCAGGCTGCGTATATATTGTATTATGTGAACACATAGGAGGAAATAGTTAGGAAATATGGGAAAGAGAAAATAAGTAAACAAAGCAAGGAATTAGTAAGTAAGATCCCCTGGGAAGATGTTTTTGCAGATGCTGGGGTCTATCAGTGCTAGTCATGTTTTGAACATGACCTCCTAAGGGCATAGGAGCAGCAATTCCCAAATGTCGGAAGTCAAGCAGGCGAGGCAGAAGGCCGGCTTGGCTGAACAGGAATCTTCTCTTGGAAGTAAGGCAACTGGAGGGGATACTAAGCAAGTTTGCAGAGGACACAAAACTGGGAGGAGCTGTTGACTCCCTCGAAGGCAGGGAGGCCCTGCAGAGAGACCTTGACAAATTAGAGGACTGGGCAATCACCAACTGTATGAAGTTCAACAAGGGGAAGTGCTGGATTCTGCACCTGGGATGGGACAACTCTGGATGTTTGTACAGACTGGGGAATAAGATGCTGGAAAGCAGTGCCATGGAAAGGGACCTGGGGGTCCTGTTTGACAGCATGTTGAATATGAGTGAGCAGTGCCCTGGCAGCCAGGAGGGCCAACCGTGTCCTGGGGGCATCAGGCAAAGCATCGCCAGCCAGTTGAGGGAGGGGATTGTCCCGCTCTGCTCTGCACTGGGGCTGCCTCACCTTGACTATTGTGTGCAGTTTTGGGCACCACAATATAGGAAAGATATTCAGCTATTTGAGAGTGTCCGATGGAGAGGAACAAAGATGGTGAAGGGCTTTAAGGGGAAGGCATATGAGGAGCAGCTGAGGTCACTTGGTCTGTTCAGCCTGGAGAAGAGGAGATTGAGGGGAGACCTCATTCCACTCTACAACTTCCTTGTGAGGGGAAGAGGAGGGGCAGGCACTGATCTCTTCTCTGTGGTGACCAGTGACAGGACCTGAAGTTGTGTCAGGGGAGGTTTAGATTTGATATTGGAAAGAGGTTATTCACCCAGAGGGTGGTTGGGCACTGGAACAGGCTCCCCAGGGAAGTGGTCACATCACCAAGCCTGACAGAGTTCAAGAAATGTTTGGACAATACTCTCAGGCAGCTGGTGTGACTGTTGGAGATGGTTCTGTGCAGGCCTAAGGGTTGGACGTGATGATCCTTGTGTGTCCCTTCCAACTCAGCCTATTCTGTGATTCTGTAATAACTCCTTACTGAGTTTAAATTTAATACTATTTCTTACTACTTGTTGGACTAGGAGTTTAATTTCAGCTACATTGTATTATGCC